AAAAAACAAAAAAAAAATAAGTCGAACTAAAAAAGATCCCATAGATAAAAGATATGACACAAGTAATTCTCCGTATACATTTTATCTTTAAAGATAATACTAGTCCAACAGCCTCTGTTGATTTAGTTAAATCAGTTGCTGTATTAGATACTGATACTGCTGCACAAATAGTTGATAAAGCTTTAGATAAACTTCCAGAGCGACCTCAAGGAGAATTTATTTTATGGCAACCAACACGACATACACTATTTCTTCCAAACCAAATTCTCGCTGCTGCTGGTTATGATTCTACCGAGACACTTGATATTAGACCATTAAATCAACGATTTAAATTTGAGTTAATTGATAAGACCATTAAGACATTCCAAGTTAATGTTACTTTAACAGTAGAGAAGTTACTCCAATTTATTGGAGAAAAGGTTAATATTCTTTATACTGATGAATATGGATTAAAGGTATATAATGAAACAACAAAGAAAGAAACTAATCAGTGGCTTGATCCATTAAGAGTATTTTATGAACAAATTAATTCAGAAGACCAGTTATTAATTCGTTTGAAGAAGAGGTTTTATTTCAGGGATAGAAATGTAAATGATACTGACCAACAACAACTACATTTATTATATACTGATTGTACCTTTAAAGTTATTGAAGGAATGATTCCATTTAATATGGATCAAGCAATTCCATTAGTTGCATTAAATTGTCTTGTAGAATATGGTTCTTTTGATGAGAGATATGGTGATATAGATTTAAATCCAAAAGGACTAGAAAAGAGATTACCAGATATCAAGAAATATTTCCCAGAGAATTGCAAAAAAAAAGTTACAGCAAAACAACTTCTTGCTGTTATTAAAGAATGGAAGAATAAAAGTATGACAACAAAACAAATGCAAGCTAAATATCAATATTGTCAACTTGTAATGCATGAAAAGACTTATGGACTTGATATTTTCAAAGTTCGTATTAGAAAAGTTGGTAAAGCAAAAGAAATTCCAAAAATTTTTGGTATTTGTAAAGACTATGTATTATTAGCTGATGAAGATGGTGGAAATCAGGAAATTTGGGTTATTTCAAAGATTGCACGTTATGCAGTTGGTAAGAATGTCTTTATTCTTGATTTAGGTAATCACTCAACTAATTATATTACATTAATTACTGAAGAAGGTGATTTAATTTCTGCTACACTCTCAGGATATATTGACTTAATTACAAAGAGAAAGAAAGAGGCACAACTTGCAGAAAAAGATGTTGAGCCAGAATATTCTATTACTGACAAAATTGAAGATGTTCCTACTGGAGTTGATAATACTAAGAAAAAGAAAGCAGTTCCTAAAGTTTCTCAAACTTCCCAAGTTGCTCAAGTTGTTTCTCAAAGTGATACACAAGAACAAGTTCAATTATGTGTGGATAAATACCAACAAATGACATTTGAAGAAACAAGTGTTGAGCCTGTTCAATTTTCTGCTGAAGTTATGGTTGAATCAGCCCAATCTATTGGACAACTTGTTTCTGATTTGTATTCAACAGATAAAGCTACTGTTACTAATGCCTTAAATGAATTAACTATACAAACTGATGCCTTATTTACACAATTTTGTGCATCAAAAAGTGTTGATTTTGGTAGTTGTGTAATGAATGCTGATGAAGATGAAGAACAATTATTAGTTGCTTGTCGTCAAGCAACAGAGTCTGCACAAGAATTAATTGAAAGTCATGAAAATGGACTTCAAACTGCTGTATTAATTGAATCAAATGTTCAAGAAGCTGAAATTTTAGCACCAGAAATGTTTGTATTACAAGCTTCAGTTGTATCAGTTCAAGCTATGTGTGGACAAGCTACAGTAAATGATAATGGATCACAAATGTTATTACATGAATTGTCAAGAGCTGTTGGAGAAGGGTTATTTGACCTTGCAGCTATGTCTGTTGAAATGAATATTCAAGGAGAGAAAATTGTTGAAGCTAATAAAGCTCTTGTTACACTTGGACAAAATGAAATTGCTGCTATGCGTCTTCTTGCAGTTACCTCAAGTGAAGAAGGATGTCAAAAATTAATGGGAGAAATGAAGAATACAATGGATGTATCACTTGCTAATTATCTTTCATTAATAGAGTCATATGGAGTTTTACAGGAATCACCTGAAATGCAAGCCTTATATGAACAAGTTAATACAATTAAAATGAATTGGGATGCATTAATGGCAGGAACTCAAATGAGTGGAGTAGATGCAGAAAAAGATTTACTTTCAATGATTCAAAATTTGTCAGCTGTATTTAATGAATTAGCACAATTAAGTGATCCATTAGTTACTCCAGTTCAAGTTGAAATGAGTATTGATAATTTAGAAGATATTCTTGAGAACACAAAAGAAACATGTAAGAGTGTTGCTAAAGCTAAAATTGATGAAGGTAATCAAGAACAGGTTGCAGTTATTTTAGATGACTTTAAAGATGTTGTACAAAAATTCTTTGTAATTAGAGATAAACTTGAGAGTGGAGAAAGAGGTGAGCTTGTAGAAGATGATTGTATTTTAATGAGACAAGCTATGGAAAAATTAATGGAAGGATGTGGAATGGAAGAAGTTGGAGAAAATATGCAAGGACTTGCACTTAATTCTATGACTAAAACGGCTGTTGCTCGTAGAATTGCTCTTGCTGCACAAGTTAGAAGAGTTATTAAAAATGGACATATTAAAGATAAAAACATTCAAAAACAAATGTTAAAAGTTACTAGGTCAATGAATGAACAAGTAGAAGAGATGCTTAAATTATTATCATTACCTGTAGATGAACAAGGTGCTCAATTACCAGAAAAATGTAAAGAATTTGCACCTAAATCATATGATTTAATTGTTGAAGTTTTAGAAACACTTCCATTAATTGAAGATAATTCTTCACGTAGTGCACTTGAATTTGCATGTAATGAAGCTGAAAGAGCAACATTTGATATGGCTCGATTGAATAATTTATTCAATAACACTAAACAAGCTCGTAAAGAAGTTGTTGTTACTAAGAAAGAAGAATTTGATAATATTGAAAATGAAATTGAATTATTACTTGGAGAACTTGTTGCTGAAGACTTTGAAGTCCAAACAGTTAATGTAGAAGGTGTTAGAAGTAAAGCTAAAAGTCAAATTGAGGAGTCAATTAAAGCCATGGCTGATCCATTAAAGAAGATAAGAGAAACACCATTAGAAGATCTTCCTGCATTATTTGAAAAGATTCAAGCACAAAACAGAAAGAACTATAGAGCAGTTAAGGCTTATGCAAGTACTGCTAAAAAAGGTGATTTCAGAAAACGATTGTTAGATGCATCAAAAAGACTTGCTGACCAAATGAAAGGAGTTGTTGACTTATCTTTAGAAGAACAATATGATGAAATTGCTAAGAAACAAGCCGAATTAGCAGACATTTGGGCTGAAATGGATGAGGTTATGAAAGATATTGTATTAGATGATGTTGTTGAACAACAAGAAACTAAAGAAGAAGAGATTCAAGATGCTGCAACAAAAGAACTTGTTGGAGCAGCAAATGTTATTAATAATGCCTTAGGCAAAATTAATGCTGCTCTTGAAATAGCTAAAAAGAAAAAGGAGGAAAAAGAGAAACAGTTACAAGCTGAGCAACAAGCCGCTTATGAAGCTGCTGTTGCTGCTAATGAGGCAGCAGCTGTACCAAGAAAAAGAACAGCACTTGTATTGGATCAAACAGACATATCTGTTGCTATCTTAGAAGAAGCACAAACATTGATTAACTTTACTTCTGATTTAATTTCAAATGCTACAGTAGCACAGAAGAATATCACTAAAGAAGAAACAGCTAAAGAAAAGAAAGATGTTTATAACCGTGATGCCAATTGGGAGGAAGGTCTTATCTCTGCTGCTAAGACAGTCACTGGATGTATCCAATATTTAGTCAAAGCTGCTAATGATCAAGTTATTCATAATAAACCAAGTGAGGCTATGTTGGTTGCTTGTGCCAAATCAGTTGCTGCTAATGCTATGCAATTACAAGCTGCTTCTATGGTTAATTTAGCTTTAGACGATCCTATGAGGGATAAACTTGCTTCAACAATTAAGAAAATTACTGACTCACAATCAGCATTTGTTAAGACAGTCTCTCAAGGTGCTGATGCTCGTTCAGAAGTTGCACCACCAAAAGCAAGAAATGCACAACAATTAAGAATTATGCTTATGGAAGCTTCAGTCAATATTTCTAATATTGAAAAAGAATTACAACAAGCACAAGAAGAGTTGTTAAGAATGAGAAGAGCTCGTTATGGTAATGCTAAGAAACCAATTCCATCTAGTGTTTCTTCTGCTAGAAGTGTTCCAAAAGTCCCTGCATCTAAAACAAACAAAGTTGGTGGATATAGTGTTTCTAAAAGTACTACCACTGCAACTAAACCAAGTACTACTACAACTAAGCCTAGTCCTGCCACCCCAGCTAGAGGTGGGTTTTTAGCTAACAAACAACGACCTGCTGACCAACAAGCTGCTCTTAATAATATTGTTAATGCTGCTGCTTCTTTAAATGCCTCAACAGGAAGTGGTAATACAACTCATACTGAAACATTAAATAAACCAGCCAATCCCACACACCCAAGGGTTAATGGATTCATTGGTAGAACAAGACCAACTCCAAAACCTGAGGAGCCTAAACAAGAAGAAACAGCTAGTCGTACTACTCCATTAAAGCCTCAGAGTTCAAATAGCTCTGTTCAAGACAAACCACGTGTTGGTGCACTTAAATCTGCTCCTTCAACTGATAAGCCTGCTGTCCCACAACGTAATTTCAAAGTATCACCAAGAGTTTCACAAAAACCACTCCCTGTTGAAGAAAGCAATGGTCCTTCTAATGAATTAGCTGCTTTATTGGCTAAGCGAAGACAAAAGGAATAAATCAAAATTATCGTTTAATTGCATTCGTTTAATCAAAAGAGTTTTATTATTTATTTTTTAAAAAAGAGAAAAATAACGAATAACAATGAACTTGATTTATTTAATAGAATCTTTATGAGAATTTCCTTTTTTATTTCTTTTAAATCTATGAAATAAGTAATTTATTTAAGAAATGTTACTTTTACTTTATAGAAATAATCCATTAAAATTTTAATAATAACAAACAATCCAAAACCTTTTTTGGTTTTATCATCAGGTTGTAATGAATTATCAATTTTCTTTCCTGTAATAAAGTTATTATCTCTTCTGCAATGAAATTAATATAAAACAAACTAGATAAAGTAGGGCTTTCTTCGTGTTTCAATAGGTAAACATCAAAAGGAATTTTTTGATATTTATCTTCAAGAACAATAGAAAAAGGCTTTGTTAATTCTAATTTAGTTTGAAGTTCAAGGTTTTCATTCTGAATTTTATTTAATGACTTTTGTAATTTTAAGAATTGTTTTTCTAATGTTTTTATTTCATTTTTTGTATGATCTAAAATTGCAATTGACTTACACATTTGAGTGTTGTAGTCTTCATTATATAAATTAATTGAGTCCATTAACGATCGATAGATTTGATAATCGTCTAATACAAAATGACATGCTCCAACAAGATCAATTAAGTCATCTCCAATTCTTCGTGGAAGAAAGTCAAGAGTAGTTAATATGTTTTCTTTAATAATTACAATAAAAGTATTGAAGTCATGATGACACTGAATTGTATCAATTTGATATTTTTCTTCATACGGCTGTTTAAGTAAGTATGATAATATATCATTACAAGGATCTGGATTAGATATAAGTGGAATAATTTCAAACAAAAAGTTATCTTGTGGATGACAATCACTGGAATGTAGATTTTCTAAAGTCATTCTAAAGAAATTTAAACGATACCTGTTATTGATATAATCAATGGAACATGCACCTGGAATATATTTTTCTGCATTTGTGATTAATGGAGATAATGTGTAATTATAAAATAATTCTCTAAATACACTTTTCACTATATCTCTTTTATTTACTCTGTGAGAACGTAATATTGCACTAATCGATTGAATTAGTTGTGAAAAGTGTTGTGGTAAAGCTTGACAATTATTTGATAAGTTATCATTACATTGAGAAATCAGTCTAACTAAAAAGTCTTGAAATGCTTTATAATCTTCTCTCGATAATTGACTTTCATCATCAAAAGACAATGACTGAATACCTGAAGAAAGACTTATTCTTCTTGACTGAGGTTTAACTAATTCTTCTAATGATGGTTTTAAACTAGCAAGTAAATAATTCATCAAGAATTCCTTGGCATATGCATGATATAATTGTAAAAATAATGAGTCAGGAGTAAAGAACGTATTTGTCTCTTGTCCTTTATTACATAATTCTTTTTCAAAAGCCCAAGTAAATAATGAGTTCATTCTTCCATGATGAAAATAATACATCATAATTTCATGTGCATTTGTTGTTGCCTCTTCACATGGCGAACGGATAATAAGTGTTTGGGTAAGTGCTTCAAGTAAAACATGGTCATTAGAAAATAACAAATTGTCAAATTGTTCCTTTATTTTTGGGTCAATTGGTTGAAACTCTAAAGACTCAATAAATCGAGGAGACGGTAAATCTAAAGAAGGAGGTTGTATTTCTTCAGTCATTAAAAAGAGAATTAGAAATAACCTTTTCAAGTTTTTAATTTAAAATAATAAAAGAACTATTAAGTTAAACTATTAAAACTCAAATATTAAATGAGCGGACAAAATGCATGGTCTGAGAAATATCGTCCAAAAACACTTGATGATGTTCAAGGACAAGAAGAAGTGATCAAGTTACTTAAATCTTCACTGAATAGTGGATTACCAAATTTATTATTTTTTGGACCTCCTGGAAGTGGAAAAACTACTTCAATACTTGCTGTTGCACATGAACTATTTCAGGGATACTTTAAAGAACGTGTATTAGAATTAAATGCTTCTAATCAAAGAGGTATTGAGATGGTTAGAACGACTTTAAAAAATTATGCTATGCAAGATGTAACTCATTACGATGGAATTCCTGATTATAAATTAATTATTTTAGATGAATCAGATGCACTTACCCCAGATGCACAAACTGCATTAAGAAGAATGATGGAAGATTTTACAAAAAATACTCGATTTTGTTTAATTTGTAATTACATCAGTCGTATTTTGCCACCAATTTCATCTAGATGTATTAAATTCAGATTTAGTGCATTACCAAAAGAAATAGTATCAAATAGGTTACAAATGATTTGTGAAAAAGAAGGATTTTCTGTTACAAATGAAGCTATTCAAGCTGTTTCTATATTGAGTGAAGGTGATTTACGTTATGGAATTGGATTACTTCAAAAATTATCACAAGGTATAAATCATTCTGTAACACCACAAGACATTTCTAATGTTGCGGGTGTTGTTCCTTCAAAAGAAATCACTGAAATAATTCATTTATGTCAAAATGGAAGTGTGAATGATTTATATTTAAAGGCAATGTCATTAGTTGTTGAACAAAACTTTTCAGCTGATTCTATTCTTTCACAACTGAGAGATGTTTATATTGAAGACTGTGTTAACTTAACTAATCAAGAACGATGTTTATTCTTACAGTTAATAGCACAGTCTGATGCTACTTTAATAGATAAAACAGATCCTTTGTTTACTATCTGTGCATTGTTATGTTCATTATTTAAGTTTTATCACAAATTAACATTAAATCCATAGTTTAATTCTTTTTTATTTGTTAATTTTTTTACTTAACTTTTAGTAGTTAAAAACTGTTAATTGTTTGAACGACAACATAACGTTTCAATTTTTAATAATATTTTACTTTCGTATAACGGTTAGATATGAAATAAAATATTTAAGTAATTCCATCTCTTACTTTTTCTTTTTTCAATCATAAAAAACAATTTAATTATGATGTGAAGATATAGATATAAAAAAATGGTTATTGTTATATGACCAAAAAAAGTTTCATGAAATATTTATAAGAAGATAGTTGTAATATTTATACAATAGTATTGTTTTGGTTCATGATTAGTTTTTATGAATATTTCTATATTCTTTATTAGTTATGAATTAAATTTAATGAAAGATATTTAATTAAATTATTACAATTTAATAATAATTATTATTATTTCCAATTTTGGACAATCCAATTCTGTGTTGTTTGTGAAAGAATGTCATCATCTAATTCTATTTTATAATACTGATCTCCTAATATTATTTTACATTCTTCTTCAATTTCTTTTTGCTAGTTATGATAAATATTTATTAATAGATATTAGAATAAGAATAAAATTTAACTAACTTTGAGTTCTTTTGATAATGAAGAAATATATTGTTTCAATTGTTCTTCTTGATATCTATCTTCCATGAAAAAAGAGGTATGTCTTTCACTTCCAATGCAGAGAACAGCAATATCTTTTGTTTGAATTCCAAGTGAATTAAAATGTCGAATAGCTAATATTGTTGGGTTTGTTGTAATTGAAGTTAATGAAAGAGAATGAGTTGATGAAGTACATGTCTTATAACATAAGTCTTTGACAAAGTCTTGGGATTGAGAGGATTGAAGTTTATGATTATTATTATAATAAAATATTAATAACTTATTGTTCAATGTATTTACGGTGTTATCTCCGAATAATTTCATTGCAACACTTTGATAATATTTAATTGTATTTGATTCATTAGTATATTGAATTAAAGTAGGAAGGATATTTATCAATAATTCAATTTGATTTTTTAATAAACAACAAGCATTAAAAGATGTAAATCCAAAAGTACATATTATATCACAAGCATCTATTAAAGATGGATATTGTTTAATTAATTTCTGTAAAAATATTAATTGATCTAATATAGAATAGTCATGAGTTGTTTCAAGAACAATAATTCGATATTTTTTTAGTTTTAATTCATTAATGCTTGGTTTGTTTATTTTTGAATCTATTTCTGGTAATTGATTGTTTGGCTTCATTTTATCAATAAGCTCTTGTTGTTGATTTATTAAATTAAGAAGATGAATCATTTTATCTTCAATTAAAACTTTCTCAACTGTTAATTTCGCAGCAGAACCAAATACTTTTAATGGTTTAAAGAGAATTTTCTTTATTGAGTTATGTCTTTTTCTTGGAGAAAAATTTCCTGTTGAATTTTGTTCATTTAATTCAGGTAGTTCTAATGAATTATTTTCCAAAAAACTTACTGGTGTATGGGATTCAAGTTCTTTTTGTTCATAATTGTTTAAAAGTTTAATTATTATATCAACATGAGGAGATTCAATAGCATAATTCATAGGTAATTTTCCACATGTTGTTTCAATGATAACTTGTGCACCTTCTTTAAGTAGTAATTGAATCGCTTTAATATTACCTACTAAACATGCAAGATGAAGTGCCGTTTCACCATTCATATTTTGTTTGTTAACATAAGAACTATTATTGATAATAATTTCTCTCATTAATTCAAGGTAAAGTTCACCTGTTCTTTGTACAAGAAGATGTAACAATGTTGTTCCATGATCATTTACAACATTAATATCAGCACCAACTTCTATAAGAAATTCTGTGATAAAATCTTGTTTATTTTCAATAGAAGTAAATAAAAGTGTTGACCCTATAACATTTTTTACGTCTACATCATTGGGAAAAGTTGAAACAAGAAATTTAACAATGTGAAGGTGTCTTAGAAATTAATAAAAAGTTATATTAAAAAATAACCAACAAACCCCAACGCAACAATGCAATGATATAATTTATTGAATCCTTTACATTTTGATAACCAAGTTTTACAATCTAAAACAGTTAATAATTCCATTGCTTCTTCTTCTTTTCTTTGAAGCAGTAATCCTTGGATATAATTAACAAGTGACTCTTTATCATTCACAAGTAATTCTAGTCCAAAATGAAGTGGTTTATTTGTTTCTTTTTCCATTTACATAGTTTTTTTTAGTTTTGATTGTTTTTATTAATGGAAAAAAATCTCGTTTTTTGTGTCAATTTCTATGTTTTCGTCTTTTTTTCTCTTCAAAACTAGAACTTTGCTTTCTTTGTTACTTTATGTTTTCTTCTCATCAGCCTAAATCAGTTGTTAAGAAAATGTCTCCTTTAGTCACCCCTTTACATTGTATTAACAATGAAGAATCAACCTACAAATTCCCCTCACCTATCAAAGATATTGTATTTTCTTCATCTAACATTCTTTATGTCACTGAAACAGATG